GCATGCTCACAGCCACAGCCTCGACCTGCTGGGCTCAGGCAATCCTTCCGCTTCAGCCTTCCAAGTAGCTGGAATGACAGGCATGTGCCACCATGCCCAGCTATTTTTTTTCTTGATTTATTGTAGAGATAAGGTCTCACCATGTTGCCCAGTCTGATCTTGAACCTGTGGGCTCAGGCAAGTCTCTCACCTCAACCCCCTAAAGTACTGGTGAGCCACCATGCCTGGTCAGTTTTATTTGTATTTACAGCCACTTCCCGTGGCATTACTACCTGAGATCTACCTCCTGTTACATCAGCAGTAGTATTAGATTCTCATAAGAGTGCGAAGCCTATTGTGAACTGAGCATGTGAGGGATCTGGGTTGCACGGTCCATGTGAGAATCCAGTGCCCAATGATCTGAGGTAGAGGCTGAGGTGTGATGCCAGCACTGGAGAGCAGCTGCAAATACAGATTAACATTAGCAGTGAGGTTTGACTGCACAGAGACCCAAATAAATCAATTTCTTGCAGACTCATATCAAAACCCTACCAATGAGTGGCAAGTGAGTTGATGTACTTCATTGTTACAGCTACATTTGGTGACAGGCTTTAAGTCAGAATCCAACACTTATTTCAGTCCATACATGGCCAGTCCACTATTTTTTTTAACCACTCCCATCTGCACCTCTTTCCCCGCATTGCACACTTGTGGTAGCCCACAAGACAGCCCTACGGAAAATGAGTAAAAAACAAATGTCACTGGAGAGCTTGCTTGAAGAGGGGGAAAGACCCAATGATGAGACAGCAGAAGTCTCTAAGATTGCCAACAAAAAGAAAGCTGCATTTAAAATAAAATATCAAAAGTTCTACTTAAATTACAGGTTCATTGCAACAAGTGACTTACATTCTCCTGCTTTGTATAATATGTGGTGACTGGCTATCCAACAAAGCCATGAAACTGTCAAAACTGCTTCGTGACATAGGGGCCAAGCACCCTGCATTAAAAGACAAGCCTTTGGAGCTTTTCAAAAGAAAAAAATGTGAACACGAAGAACAGAAACAATTATTGAAGGCCATCACTTCATCAAATGTGTCTGCACTGCCAGCATCATTCTTAGTGGCTAACCGCATTGCTAAAGCTAAGATGCCTATTGGTGAAGAGCTGATCCTGACTGCTGCTAAGGTCATTTGTTGTGAACTTTTAGGAGAGGCTACAGTTCAAAAGGTGGCACGTGTTCCTTTTGTGGTTAGCACCATAACTAGATGAACTGAAACAATAGCAAAGGATACTGAGGCACAGTTGCTAGAGAAAATGAATGAGTCACCATGGTACATAATCCAGGTTGGCAAGTCTACTGATATTGACAACAAGGCAACAATGCTTGTTTTTGTGCAATATATTTTTCAGGAGTATGTGCTTAAGGATATGTTATGTGCATTTCTGTTGCCAACCAACACCACAGCTGCAGAACTACTCAAGTCTTTGAATGATTATATATCAGGAAAACTGAACTGGTCATTTTGTGTCAGTATATGCACAGACAGAGTAGTTGCCATTACAGGACAGCTTTCTGCTTTCACTATTCGAGTCAAAAAGTTCACTCTGAATGTGAGTCTACGCACTGTTTCATTCACTGAGAAATGCTGGTTGGTTGAAAAAATGTCACCTGCGCTCAACAACGTTTTGCAAGATGTGATTAAAATTATCAACCACATTAAATTGCATGCTGTTAACTCACATCTGTTCGTGCAGCTCTGTGGGAAAATGGATGCAGAGCACATACATCTTCTCTTATACACAGACATGAGTTGACTTTCTAAAGGTAGGTCACTGGCCAGTGTTTCTGAGTTACGAGAGCCGGTCCAGAGATTTCTTTTAGAAAAACAGTCATCACTTGCAGCAAATTTCAGTGACACAGAGTGGGTCGCAAAACTTGTTTACTTGTGTGACATATTCAACCAGCTCAACGAACTCAATCTGTTACTTGAGGGGAGAATGACAACTGTGTTCAAGTTGGCAGAGAAAGTGGCTACATTCAAAATCAAGCTGGAACTATAGGGGCGACAAGTGAACGCTGGGATTTTTTTTTTTTTTTTTATTAATCAGTATTTTTTATTATGGTTTTGTGGGGTACAGTTAAGGGTTAGGTGTACAATTACGTTTCATTCAGGCACCCTGTTGATAAGAGGTGTTTTCCCATCCCCCGACAGATATTTGCTACTGTTAATCCCATCCCCCTCCCTGGGATTTTTGAAATGCTTCAAACATTAGCAAAGATTTTGAAAGAAACTGAGCCAGAACCTTCTTTCTCCCAGCTGGTACATGATCACCTATCTTAGCTTTCAAAACAGTTTGAGCATTACTTCCCAACCACAAAAGACTCCTGAACTGGGAAGGAATGAATTCGCCACCCAATAGTGAATAAGCAGGTGAATCGACTTGTCTGTGCTGGAAGAGGATCAGCTGCCCGAGATCGCAAATGAGTGGCCTTAAAAAAATGTTTGCGACAGCTTCAAATCTCTGTACATTCTGGATTAAAGTCAAGGTGGAATATCCTGAGACTACCACAAAAGCACTGAAAGGCCTGCTTCTATTGCCAACATCCTATCTTTGTGAAGCAGGTTTTTCTGCAGTGACGGCAGCAAAACGAGACCAGAGTAGAGAGAACATAATCAATACACTTCAGGTGTCACTGTCTTTGATCACCCCCAGACGGGACCATCTAGTTGCAGGAAAACAAGCTCAGGGCTCCCACTGATTCTGCATCATGTTAAGTAGTATAATTATTTCATTATATATACAGTGTAATAATAATAGAAATAAAGCTCACAATAACTGTAATACACTCGAGTCATCTCAAAATCATCCCCACCTCCTGGTCAGTGGAAAAATTGTCCTCTATAAAACCAGTCCCTGATGCTAAAAAGGTTGGGGAGAGTTGCCCTAAAGAATTGAAAGCAGGGACTCGAACAGATATTTGTATACCAATATTCACAGCATTATTCACAACAGTCAAAAGGTAGAAACAACGCAGATATTCTCAACAAATGAACAGATAAACAAAATGTGGTGTATATACAAGGAGTATTACTCAGCCTTAAAAAGAATAAAATTCTAATACACCCTACAACATGGATAAGACTTGGAGACATTATGCTAAGTGAAATAAACCAGACACAAAAGGACAAGTGCTATATGATGCCACTTATATGAGGTACCTAGAACAAATTCATAAAGATAGAAAGTAGAATTGAGGTGGCTGGGGGGAGGAAAGAAGGGGAATTATCATTTATTGGGTATAGAGTTTCTGTTTGGAATTATGAAAAAGTTCTGGAAACAAATAGCTACGGTTGCACAACACTATGAATATACTTAATGCCATCAAATTGTATACCTAAAAATGATTAAAATGGTAAATTTTATGTTATGTATATATTACCTCAATTTTTTTTTAAAAATTGATGAAATTTAGCCTATCAACAAACTAAACAAAAAAATCATATGATCCTCCCAACAGATACAAAGAAGCACTGGATAAAATTTAACATTTATGGGTGATTTTAAAAAAAAACTCTCCACAAAGCAAGAATACAAGGAAATGTCAACCTGATAAAGGATGTCTATGAAAAACCTACAATCATCATGGTATATAATAAGACTGAATTATTTCCTCCTAAGGTAGGAAACCAGGTAAGGATGTCTGTTCTTACCACTCTGTTTAACAGTGTATTGAATGTCCCCATCAGTGCAGTAAAGCAAGACAAATAAATACAGTATACAGATTAGAAAGGAAAAAAAGTTGTCTTTATTCCCAGATAACTTGATCAGTGATCACTGATGTAGAAAATCTCAAAGTTACAAAAAAAGGGCTGCTTTAATATGTTAGTTTACCAAGGTTACAGTATACAAAGCTAATATATAAAATCAAATGAATTTCTATATACTAGCAGAGAAGAATTGGAAATTGAAATTTAAAAACAATTCCATTAAGAACAGCGCCAAGAGCCGGGCTCGGTGGCTCAGCCTGTCATCCCGCGCCTTGGGAGGCTGAGGTGAGTGGATGGCCTGAGCCCGCGGGTTGGAGACCCGCCTGGGCAGCGAGACCTCATCTCTACAATAAATCAAAAAAATCAGCCGGGCGTGGTAGCACATGCCTGTAATTCTGGCTACTGGGAAGGCCGAGGAGGAAGGTTCGCCGGAGCCCGGCAGGTCGAGGCTGCGGTGGCCGGGAGCGGCCACTGCACGCCAGTCTGGGCGACAGAGTGAGACTCCAACTCAAAAAAAAAAAGAATAGCGCCAAGGTGTGTGTGTGTGTGAGTGAGAGAGCGAATGAGTGAGTGTGTGTGGGGGGGGCTCGGCTTGTTGTTGTCGGTGACTTCGCCCTGCCCTCCCCTCCCCTCCCCACCCGCTGCAGTGGCCGCTCCCTGGGCGGTGGGAAACGAGCGCTAACGATGACATCGAGGTGGAGAGCGACGCGGGCAAACGGGCTCATCATAAAGCACTGGAACGAAAACACAGGGACCACATCAAGGGGAGCTTTAAGAGTTTGCGGGACTCGGTCGCATCGCTCCGAGAGAAGGCATCCCGGGCCCAAAGCCTAGACAAAGCCACAGCGTATATCCGGTATATGAGAAGGAAAAGCCACACACACCAGCCGGACACGGGTGACCTCCAGCGGCAGAACGCTCTTCTGGAGCAGCAAGTCCGTGCACTGGAGAAGGCGAGGTCAAGTGCCCAACAGCAGACCAACCACCCCTCCTCAGACAACAGCCTCTGCCCCAACGCCAAGGGCAGCACCATCTCTGCCTTCGACGGGGGCTCGGATTCCAGCTCGGAGTCGGAGCCCGTAGAGCCCCAGAACCGGAAGAAGCTTCGGACGGAGGCCAGCTAAGCTAAGCCCAGGGCGGCCAGCAATAAGAACTGTCTCCACGTGCATCCCCCTCACTTCATCCGGAGACCCCTCACAGCCATTTAAGACTCTTTTTTTTTCTCTTTCTCCTTTTTTAAAATTTTCGTTTTTACGTAGACGCTCTTGGACAGCAGCTCTCGTCCTCCTTCCCCACATCCACTATTTCTTTTAATGCGGTCCCTTCAGGGATTCCCAGTCCCCACCAGGAATTTTTAGACCAAAACACCCCAACTTGGCAGCTTTCTCTGTGGAGGACAGACGGCTGGCCGGACCTCTGAGCACAAGGCGTCCTGCCCTGCCACCAGCGCCTCCCGCCCAGCCGGGCAAGTGCCTGGAGGATGCCCGCCCCGCCCAGGCCACCCTGGCCGCCCTCACCTCTGTTTGATAGAGACTGAATCTGGGAACTGCTCCCCTGGAGACGATGGTTGGTTTGGGGTAATCAGAATGGCCCCCCCTCCTTTTTAAGGGTTTTTCTTCTTTTTCTAAAAAGCTATTTATCGCTCCTATTGAAAGGCCAGATCCTTAAAGTGTGTGGTGTGAAGGAAAGTAGGGGCAGGTGTGCAGCGCGGTCTCGAGCCCATCCACTTCTGCCCCTCTCGGGCGCCGCCCGGCGGGCTGCGCCCGGCTAGCAGAGGGCACGGGCAGGAAAGGCAGCGCGGGTGAGGTGCAGCTGCCCCTGGGTGCTCCGGTGGGGTGGGACCGCGAGGTGTGTTGGGTGGGCGGAGGTTTTGTATGGAGGGTTAGTGATGATGTTTTGATATTTATTTCCTGCTATTGAAATTTGAACCTGAGTGAAGTGTCCCTATTTCTGATGACGTCGGTATCCAAAGCGACAGATTCCTAAAGTGATGATCAGCTCTTCCTTTCTCTCCGAGTGTCTTTCTAAGAAATAGAGCCAACTGATTTTGTATGTAAATACCAAGAGCGATTTACCTGGTACTAAAACCGCACCCCAGTGTGGCCCCTTCCTGTCCTCACCCTCCTCCCTCTTGTCCTGGAACCTGTCTCCATCTGTGATCCAGCCCTGGTTCTGGCTGTGATCAAGATCCCAATGGAGGGTTTTGTGTGTTTAGACCTCATTTCTTTGTCTTTTTCTTACTCTGTTCCTGGCATTTGCTGATTTCTAGTGTATACTCTATAGTCTCAGTCTGTGTTTGACTCCATTCCATGGAAATAAAAAGTATGTTGTACATACTGCCGAAGAATTGTCCTGCAAGTTAAGGCTTCCCCTTTACTATATGACTATAAATAAATACTTCTTTTATCCTTAAAAAAAAAAGAAGCGCCAAACACAAAATACTTGGGGATAAACATAAGAAAAAATGTATAAACTATATCTATAAAAAAGAACAAAGCGTTGTTGGGATATATTTATAAACATATAAAATGGAAAAAGAGATCTTATTCCTGGATTGAAAGATATTCTTAAAATGTAAATTTACGCAAAACTGATCTATATATTCAATATAATCCCAATCAAAATCCCAACCAGTTTTTTTTTTATAGAAACTGATTCTAAAATATTTATGGAAGGCTCTAGACAGTCCAAAACAATTCTTAAAAAGCAAAACAAAGTTAAAGCTCTTTCTTTACCTGATTTCAAACTTTACTAAAAAAGCTACAATTAATATAGTTATAGTAGTTCAAGAACAGAAATATAGATTAGTAGAACAGAACAGAGAATGCAGAAACAAGCACACATATGTAGTCAATTGATTTTCAATACAAGTGCTAAGAAAACTCAATGTAGAAAGTGTTAATCTTTCAATAAATGGTTCTAGACTAGTTGGAGAGTCAAATGTCAAAATAAGGAAAGTAAGAAGGAAGGAACAGAGAGAGGGAAGAGGGGAGGCAACATCAAACTAAATCTGGCACTTGTGCTCAAAAATTAAATAACACATATAGGTCGAAATGTAAAAACCAAAAAACTTCTAGAAGAATACATGGAAGAAAATTGTTGTCACCTTGGAGTAGACAAAGTTTCATCAGGATTTTAAACGTATGAATCATAATAGCAACATTTGATAAAGTAGACAATTAAAATTAAACATTTTGGCTCTTCAAATGACATTTAGGAAAGTTTTTTTAAAAATCACACAATTGGAGAACTATTATAAAATATATATCTGATAAAGGACTTGCACCCAAAATATACAAAGAACTCTTACGACTTGACAAACTAAAACATCCAATTTTTTAAAAAAGACAAAAGTTTTGAAGATACCTCAAGGAAGAAATAAATACATAAGACATTCAAAATTATTAGTTACTAATGAAATGAAAATGAAAATCCAGTGAGATAGCATTATACTTGCACACCTACTAGTACGACCAAACTATCAAATGTGACAATACCAAGAGCCAGAAGAGAGGGTGGAGCAACTGGAACTCTCCAATATTGCTGGTAGGAATGCAAAATGATACAGCCTCTTTGGAAAACACCTTCCCTGTTTCTTATAAAGTCAAACACGCACTTATTATACAAATACATACACAAAGGATATAACATAACAGGTATATGAACATACAAAGACTTGTACAGGAATGTTTATAACAGCTTTATTTATGATAGCCTCAAACTGTAAACAACCCAAATGTTGGTTAAAAAAATAAAATAAAATAAAAAAAGATCAAACTAATGATGAATGCAACAGTGTGGATGACTCTCAAAAGCATTATGCCAAATATCAAGAAGTCAGACACAGAAGACCAAATAACGTAAGATTGAATTTATATGACATCCTGGAAAAGGTAAGACTATAGGAACAGAAATCAGATCAGTGTCAGGGAATGAAGGTAAGGGATCAGATTAACTACAAAGTGGCATTAAAGAACTTTCAGGGTGCAATAAATGTTATAAACCTTAATTGTGGCAGTTAATAGGTAAACTATATAGTAAATTCATTGACCTGTACCTCAATAAATCTGAATTTTTTAAAAGTAGGGGTATATTAGTATATAAGCATAGAGTATCTTTGAAAGGACATTTACTGTATTTTTATTTATCAAATCCTTATATAACAGTCACTGTATTTCAGACATTATTCTAAATACTGTGCAAACATTTGAACTCATTGTAGGAAGTGCCTTTAAGAAGAGGACCATGAGACAGAGAATCTCAGGGTGCAGTGAGACTAACATTTTTTCACTCTATTCTGTGTTGCTTGAATTCTTCTAACCATGTTCACATCTTGTCTACTAAAAAATAATTAAGCTTTTTTTTTTTTTCACTCTGTCACCCAGGCTGGAGCGCAGTGGCACGCTCATGGCCACCACAACCTCAACCTCCTGGGCTAAAGTGATCCTTCTGCCTCAGTCTTCCAAGTAGCTGGAACCACAGGCATGTGCCACCACACCCAGCTAAAAGTTGGATTTATTGTAGAGACAAGGTCTCGCCATATTACTCAGGCTGATCTCGAATCCCTGAGCTCAGGCAATCTTCTCACCTCCATCTCTCAAAGCGCTAGGATTACAGGTGTGAGCCACCTGCCTAGTCAAAAAAAAAAAAGTTTTAAAAACTGCTTTTTGGTCGGGTGCAGGGGCTCATGTCTATAATCCCAGCACTTTGGGAGGCTAAGGCAAGAGGACAGTCTGAGCCCACGAATTCGAGACCAGCCTGGGCAACTTGTCAAGACCACATCTCTATAATAAGTCAAAAAAATTAGCCAGGGATGGTGGTGCACGCCTGTGGTTCCAGCTACTCGGAAGGCTGAGGCAGATGGATCACCTGAGCCCAGCAGGTTAAGGGTGTGGTGGCCGTGAGTGTGCCACTGCACTCCAACCTGGATGACAGAGTGAGACTCCAACTAAAAAAAAAAAAAAAACAAAAAAAACCACAAAAAGCTTTTACTTTTAAATCAGTGGACTTCGGGTAAAGCAGACAGCCTCCACAATATGGGTGGCCCTCATCCAATCAGCTGAGGGTCTTAATAGAACAAAAGGCCAACCACTCTAAGCAAGCCTTTGGACTGGAATTACAACTCTTTCTTGAGTCTCCATCCTGTCTCCCTTCCATAGCCAAGTCTCCACAACTATAGGGCCAATTCCTTAAAATACACACACACACACACACACACACTCACACACACACACACCTTGTTTCTGTTTCTTTGGCGGACTCTGACTAATACGGTGGTTATGCAAAATATGTTTTTCAAATTAATAAAATGAATTTAATTAATGCTGTTTTTGTTCTGTTTTGCTTTCACTTACCTTATGAATAAATGTCTGTGAGAAGATTTATTTTGACTTGTTTTTATAGATCACTCAGCAGTTTTAAGTCAATATAAATGTGTTAAGTTAAGACAACATATACACAATGTAAGAATTACAGAAACTTGAACATATGTTAGGTTTCATGTTACAAATACTTTTAAAAGAAGAAAAAGGATTGACTAGCCAGGTTATAAAAACAGAACTGAAAATCTCTAGCAATACCACACAAATGATTTTTTTAATCATTCAAAAGAATTGCCAAGGTAATGACAGCTGCCTTGAAAGGAAAACTAGATCTAAATGTTTTTTAATAGATGATTTTGTTTCTTACTCTAAACTTTAAAAATGTGTTCCTGTAGAAACTAAAAACATCTCTGAAACAGAATCCTTATGTGAGAAAATGGCCTGGTCAAAAACATATTACTTTTGATCCAAATAATTATTAAGCCTGTTTTGTGAACTTTCATATAAATAGCATGGTTAATAGAAATAATTTCTATGTATGCAGACATAACAAAATGATCATTTAATACAGAATGGAAATAAGCCAGTTCCTGCCAAATTATCTGCCAAGTCCTGAATTCAGGGTTCTCTGCTTCCCTTGCAACAGATGTAGGTGTTAATGATGTCATTAACTGCTGCAGGAGAAATAGGGGACCATGAACACAGGTCTTGGCAGAAAATAAACACCCTGAGAGTTTACCTTTAAATTTAAAGTAAATAGAAAAATTAGTTTATAGAGTGTCTGCCCAATATAGTTCTTGCCCTAAAGGGATATGTCAGAATTTTTATTTCCAGTGTTTTCAGCTGTATTCCAGAAAAAATGCTAACAACCTCTGCTCTTAAAGACACAAATTAAGACTGCATTTATATCGCAAAACAACCAATCAATACATTTAAAATATTAGGTTGGTATTATATAAAACATGTACAGCCACACAACCAATTTTTTTGTATTTGCCAACTATAAGATAATTATTCATCTTACCTTTTAAACAGGTGTTATTTTGTACAAGGATCATCTATCTTTTTTTTTTTGAGTTGGAGTCTCACTCCATTGCCCAGGCTGGAGTACAGTGGCATGCTCACAGTCACCCCAGCACTGACCCACTGGGCTCTGGCGATCCTTGTGCCTCAGCCTTCCAAGTATCCAGAACTACAGGTGCACGCTACCACACCTGGCTAATTTTTGATTTATTGTAGAGACGAGGTCTTGCCAAACTACCCAGGCTGGTCTTGAACCCATGGGCTCACGCAATCCACTCACCTTGGCCTCCCAAAGTGC